TATATATATATATATATATCCATGTCCCAAAAGCAGATCTACGCATTTGAATCTGCTAGCCAAGACAGTTGGGCTGTGTGGCTCAGAGGGGACACTGACTGCATGGGTCAGTGTTTAGACTGGGTCTTCCTGGCTCTGGCCAAGTCAGCCTTGTGTGGGAGGCTTACCTTGTTTTGCTGACCCCATGGAGAAGGGAGCAGTGCAGCAGGTGTCCCAGGCAGGGAGGGCAGGACTCTTCTGTGCTGTCAGCATTGCTTCCAAGGGAGGAGCAGAGTTCTCCAAGTCATTTTCCCTCAAATTAATTAATACTCTATTTAAAGTAACAAGTTAAAAATCCTGTTCGTTTTATTTATAAATCTTAGTATCTAGCAGCTTTTTGCACTCACTTTTTAAAAACTATAATTTTTTTTTATTTTTGGTGTATGAATGTGTTGCTTGCATGTATGTAAGTGCACCCGTTTCCTGCAGTGCCAGAGGAGGTCAGAAGAGGGTGTTGGATTTCCATGGAACTGGAGTTACAGATGGTTGTAGGTGCTGGGAATCGAACCCGGGTCCTCTACAAGGGAAACCAGTGCTCTTAACCACTGAGCCATCTCTTCAGTCCCTGAACTCACTTTTAAGGGGATTTTCAGTTGTATTTAGACATTTAACTATTTAACACTGTCTTAGAAATTTAACATAGTAGTCAATGTCATGTTCAGATTCGTTGGTTGTCTGAAAACAAGCCTTTCATGTGTACTTAAGCCATTCTTCAAAACCTGATAACTATGTCTTATAAATATAAGATAGCCTGAGGTCTCCAGATACTGCTTATAAACTCAACAAAATCTTAAAATCACAGATCTCAATCAACAATACCCTTTAAATTATAAAAAAGTCAAATCTATCAGATACTCTCTCAGCTTCTCCTAAATGCTACAAATTTGGCAGGCGAGGGAGGGAGTGTAAGTCTCCATCACCAAATGATTAATGCTACAAATCCGATTGGCTTATTGTTTTGATATTTAGTTTTAAATATCCCTAAAGGAAGAAAAGATACATTTTCCCAGTAGGCATATAATGTTCTTTTCCAACAACTTGAGGATTGCCCCCACACATGAATTTTCTCTCCTTTGGAGAAAGGGTTTCACTTATCCTCCCAGGCTATCCTCTCTTTATCCTCCTGCCTCAGCCTCTCAAGAGTTGGAATTATGAATGTGTGCCACTATACCCAGCTCCAATATCGCTCAGTGATAGAGTACTTGCCTAGCATGCATTATAGACCCTAGTGGGCCCCAGCTTCAAACTCCAGCACACACACACAGAGAGAGAGAGAGACAGAGAGAGAGACAGAGACAGAGAGAGAAGAGAAACTATTATGAAATGACATTTAAAGAATGATAATAGCAGGGCTGGAGAGATGGCTCAGCAGTTAAGAGCACTGGCTACTCTTGCAGAGGACCAGGATTTGCTGACCAGCACCCACATGGTAGCTAACAAACGTCCCTAACTCCAATTCCACAGGAATCTGAGACCCTCTTCCGACCTCCACAGGCATTGCACTGGGACATGATGGGTTCACTTACTTACATGCAGGCAATGCACTCATGAATATAAAATAAAACATAATAAATAGAATATATTAAAAAATGATAGTAGGGACAGCAAGATTGCTCAATGGGTAAGGATGCTTACCATCAAGACTGATGACCTGAGTCCCATCCCTGGGACCAACTTGGTTCTAGAAGGAGAGAACTGACTCCCTCAAGTTGTCCCATGTACACACATACACATGGCACATACATGTAAACAATAATAAAGTAAGCCCATATTTTCTAAAAAAAGACTTGGAAGGTAGATACCATAGTGGATATGGGGACACATATCTCTGCACCCCACCGTAGTTTCAACCCCACATCTTTGAACTTCCTAACAAGTCTACTCAGTTGGGTGTTTTTAAGTCTGATGGAGATTCACTGTGGGGCTGAGGTAACTTTGGGCTGATGGAAAGCACAAAGCCCAGACATGGCAAACCAAAGCACAGCCAACCTGCTCTGCTTGGACTGCTGAGGCTTCAGCCATGTGTCACTGGGATGACCAAGGTCTTGTTTTCCTCCTTTCTGGGCAGGTTGGCCTTATCCAGCTTGGGCAGGAGCAGGTATTCATCCAGCCCCTCAACAATTCTGGGGACCCATTCAGTGGACAAGAACATCTGATCAGGCGCAAATGGTCCTCCACCCCCAGCCCATCCACCAAGGCGGAGGGACCCAGGAAACTCTGCAAGGTTGTGACAGGTGAGTCCAAGTAGCATCATAGCTGGGTGGGATACACACAGCTGATGCCCTTAGTGTGCTCCAAATATGCTGAAGCCATGAGTAAAAGCTTACCTCCACTATTCAGTATCAGGTAACAACAGGAGCATGTTCTGAGAAATGTTAATCCATTTCATTAGGCCACAGTGTGCACTTAAGCTGATTATAGTCCTACTAGGTGATAGAATCTTTTGGGACTGCTGCTATATTTATCTGTTGTTGATAGACACATGGTTATTGGCATGTCTCAATATTTTATTTTTAAAATTTTATGTATATGAGTGTATTGCCTGCATGTAGGTAGGTGCACACCTGTGTTGTGTGTTGTGTAATGCCCAGGGAGGTCAGAAGAGGGCATCGGATCCCTTGAAACTAGAGTTAGCAGATGGTTGTTAGCCACCATGTGCATGCTGGGAATTGAACCTTTGTCCTCTGCATGAGCAGCCAGTGCTCTCAACCGCTGAGCCATTTCTCCAGCCCCATGTGGCAATATTTTAGAAGCCGTTTTATTGTCCCTAAAGCACTTCCATTTTCTTTTCTGTGTATGTTAGTATTGATGTTTCATGTGTAACTGCCCTTTGAAAAGGTAATTGTTTTATTTCTGCAAAGAATCCAGCATCTTGCTGGCCTATGACTTCAGTTTTGTATCAGGAACAAGTTGAGGCCTGAAACACCTTGATGGCTTACTTATTACCAAGCCTCAGGTTGGCAGTGTTGGTGGGGTAGAACTCTCCCTGGTGAGGTCCTGCTCTGAGCTTGCTTGCTTTACACTGCTCCTTAGCCCTGTAATGAGAGTTGCCAGGGGGACCTATGAAGTGGAGGCTCTGAAAGCATGGCCCCTGGGCTAGCAGCATCAGTGTCAGCTGGGAACTTGTCAGAAGGCACACATTGGCCAGCCCCATGCCAGACCTTTAGCATCTTGAGCACCATAGGCCAATCTAGTCCCTGGAGATTCAGCTGTATGATAGGGTGTAAAAATCATTGCTTAAAAAGTATGACTTAGGGGGCTGGGAAGATGGCTTAGTCGATAAAGTTTATGCCACACAAGCATGAGGACCTGGGTTCAGAACCTATGTGAAAATCAGGGTATGGCAGTGTATGTCTGTAATCCCAGCATTGGGGAGGCAGACACAGGTGAATTCCTGGAGCTGGCTGGCCGGCTAGCCTTGCTGAAATACTGAGTTCCAGGTCCAGTGAGAGACCCTGTCTCAAAAAATAAGGTGGGGAGAGACTGAAGAAGATGCCTGATGTTGACGTCTGGCTTCCATGCACATGCTCACACCCATATGCACTCTCACACGCATGCACTCACACACATGCTCACACACACAAAACACAAGTGCCTTTTGCATTTGCTTGCCTGTCCTCACATCCTTATCTGATTGGTCTGGAGTGTGACTTGGGTGTCAGGGTTTTTAAAAAAGATTTTAGCACTCAATTTGGGGTAGAAACCTGCTTTGACATGCTATGCCTCTATTTGAACAACTGTTGGTTATCAGGTATTTAAGAGCATTTTATGGTGGTGTGGTCACCAGCAATCTGCCTGGAAATGGTACCCCCCCACACTCCCCGTGAAGCTGGTAACCTGTATCTTCCAGGTAGCATTTTCTCCCAGGTGGTCATGAGACCTGAGGGCTGCCCTCTGGGGATTATGCTTTCATAGTTCAGAGTTTATCTTCCCAGGCACACGTAGTATGACTCAGCCTGGTATTCTAGTGGCCTTGGAAATAAGGATTGCTTTGCAGCCCATCTCAGCTCTTGCCTGTAGACACTGGGGAAGCTGGTCCTCACTGTTCTTGGCTTAGTCTGCCTGTGGCAGGGTTAGAGGTGACCACGCTGGATGAGTGCAAATGGAAGGAGAATACTCCCTAACTACAGGATTTTCCCAATTGCTGTCTAAACCCCTGCACAAATGAGAGACACATACCTCAGCATAAAATTATGAGTGACTAAAAATACCATTTAATAGGGGTCAGGGGTTTTGGACTGATGGGTGTGGACTTGATGTCAAGGTATCATTTACTGATCCTAGATGTGTCAGTTTCAATGAATCCTTTTTTTTCTCTCCTTATCTGCTTTATAGCAAACAAATGTTAGTCATTGTAAATTTTTGTGTGCTTTTTGCATCTGACCTGAACACATGGGTTCAGAGGCAGGGGTTTGCACTAGGGTAGTTCTCAGCCCTGTCTGTATGTTGGTATGAACTGGTGGGCTTGGTTAACTACTTATGCCCAACTGCTGTAGTTGGTCTGGGCATCTGGCTATGCAACAACTCCGCAGCTGGTTGTAAAGTTTGGCTGGTTGTTTAAAACCACCCATTAGCAGGGGTGTCCAACCTTTTGATGTTGGAGTATGATGTTATCTGTAAGTGTGTTGGGCAGCATCACATCCATAGCTATCCTGGGATGCATGTGGCTTGCAGGTTGGGCACACCAGCAAGAAATACTAATTGGGAGGTGTAGCATATGTGGGCCGTTGAAAGTGGATCTTTATGCAGAGCCACACAGTGAAACCAAGGGCAGCTGGGCTTTATTCTCTTCACTCCAGCCAGGGTCTAGCAGCTGCCAGTCTAAGCAGGCTCAGCATGCTTGCCGATGAGCTAATGGATGTTTATCTGATGGCCTGACCCCATCCTCTTTGAGGGAGAGACACCAAGAATTGCTGAGCAAATGAAAAATGGTGCTTGTGTTTGCATTTTGGACCCACAGCTGGTTTCGGAGCACTTTTTGATAGAGTGATTAGCCTTTAATGAAGGAAATAAAGTGAACACAGTATGGGATGGGGTGGATGTGAAAGAAACTAAGTTAGGACACAAGCAGCTATACTGGCTGTAGAGAGTAATTTCTGAAGTTGCCTCAAAAGTAATCTTCTTTCTTTCTCTCAAATCTTTCTTGCTTCCTTCCTTTGAGGTGCAAGGTGTGTCTAGTTACCATGGTGTGAAGCTCTACCTCCAGGCTAGGCAGGAACTAGACACTGAAGGGAGGAATACCCTTTGCTTCTGGCCCTTTTTGTTTTATATGCTATCCTCAGTCTATACGAATGCTGTGTTGAGAGAGACCCTGGGCCTTTTAACGGACGTAGCTAATCATCAGGAGTTTCCTAAGTTAGATTACCTTTCTAACTAAATTAGCTTTTCAGTTTAGACCTTGGGAAAATTAACTTACTGGCACACCAGCAAAGTACATTCCTGAAGTTTTCTAGAAAGATTAATCAGATTAATCCAAGATTTCCCAGGATAATATGTTCTTTCTGACTGGACATAGAGCCTGTAGGTTTTGCTGTGCCCTATTGTTGACCCTTTATTACTCAAACCTTTGACTTGACCCCAGAGTGGCATGCTGGCTCCTTCAGGTGAGGAAGAGTCTGACAAATCTTCCATGAAGCCTACCTGAAAGCTGACCTTTGGAAATTGTCTAGTGGCTTGAGTCTGGGCACAGTAGGGACTGGAAGAACTGACACAGCCAAGGACACCTGGAGGGAACTACTTCCTTCCCATGGATTCTACTGTGGTTGGTTTCTAGGGGACTTTGTGGGCTTTTGGTGAAGGGACAAGCTGATCACACCTCCTAGGCTTTTCTTTTTAGAACCCTACAAACTGATTATAAAATAAAGCTCTAGTTTAGAACTTGGCAAAAAAAAATGAGACTGAAAACTTTTTTATTTTTGGTAGGATTCTACGTTTTTGAAGGCTTTTTGTCTGTTTTCAACAACTAAAATTTGCTTGAGAGATGCTGAAATGTTCCTTGACTTTTAAGTGCTTATTTTGGCCTCAAAACTTTTTGTCTGTCTTCTATACTTGTTTTAAGTTTTCAGTATTCATTTAGAGTCTTCCCTCCACCATCTTCATGGCATTAGACACCAAGTTGACTCCTCTACCATGGTGGATGTAACATGGGTGGTAGAAGTCCAAGGTCAAACTGAAGATATATTTGCCAGAGGCATTACATTTTTAATTTTTAGATTTATTTTTTATTTCTGTGTTTATGTGTGTGTCTGCAAACATGTGCATGGGTGCCCACAGAGGCCAGGAGAAGGTATTAGGTCTCCTGGAGCTGGAGTTGCAGGTGGTGATGAGCTACATGGCATGGGTGCTGGGAACCAAACACCATCTTGTGGAAGAACAGCAAGTAATTTTAAGCACTGAGCCATCTCTCCAAACTCCCTCCCCCTGTGATGTGGCATTTAAAAATAGGAATCCCACCAACTTTTGAGTAGTGGAACACTCATTGGGATATAAATCTACCTAAACAGTGGGTCTGTGAAGTGCTGTGGTCTGTTTATGAAGATTTTAGCTATAGTTATTTTCTAGTATTGTCTGGTTCATATATAGCATTATAACAGTCATTTTAGAGAGACTGGAGAGGTGGCTTAGCAGTTAAGAGTACTGACTACTCTTAACAAAGACCTGAGTTCAGTTCCTAGCACCCACATGGTGGCTAACAACTGTCTGTAACTACAGTTCCAGAGGATAAGATGCCCTCTTCTGGCCTCCACAGGCATAGCATGCATGGGTGAACTTACATATATGCAGGTAAAACACTCATACATATACAAATAAATTTTAAAAATTAAAAAGTCATTTTTGATGACTATCTAGAAGATACTGTAACTTTCCAGAAATTATATATTCATCGATGCAAAAATTTGCATGTCTAGTCATGTGTGATATAACTGGTTGGGACTGGGGCTTTACCTCCACTGATAGTCATTAGCCAGAAATAACAGCAGTCAGACTGGCTTAAACACTGGAGACACTGACCTGGGCTTACAGGGCTGATGCCTGAAGCAGGAGGTTGGACTTCAGCTTATGCTTGACCAAGCTCATTTAAAAAAATGTTTTATTAAAGATTTTTTTTTCACTTATGTGTATGTGTCTGTTTATGCCACATGTGTGGGGTACCTGCAGAGGCCAGAAGAGGGTGCTGGATCCCCTAGAGCTGGAGTTACAGGAAGTTGTAGGCCACCTGACATGAGTGCTAGGA